AAATAATGAAGAAAATAAGTTTGTGCACTTCCTGTCAGCCTGTCACCTGCCTCTGCTGTCTGAATGCTGGCTCTGGGGGAGCCAAAACCCTTCCTTGGAGCCATGGAGAAGTGGATTAACCAGCTTAGAACGCTGTGTCTGATGGCTTGGAGTGAAGTGTTTTCAAGGGACCATAAGAATGTGTGTTGCCAAGAGCCTCTAGGAAGTGAATGCTGAGGCCTGGGCCTGGAAGGCTATGGGGCAGCTTATGGTGATAATCAGGAAGGAGGCCTGACCTGTCAGGCCTCTGGGCGCTTCTGTCTCCAGCATGCCGTGTGACACCAGGTGTGTCACGTACAGTGCCTCTGTTCCCAAGTCATTCATTTGGCTGATTGATTGCTTCAGCCTCTTTCACCTCTGAAGATTTAAAAACCAAGGCACATTTTTGGCTTCTGGGAACTTCAGCTCAGCCAATCAGGACTAAGAGATAAAGAAGAAAAACTCTCCCCGGTGCTGGGCTAGTTTCAGGACAGACCAGTCCAGCTGTCAGGAGAGGAACGAGTCCTGCTCATAGGTACACCTGCAGGATGCCCTCAGGGGGGTTGGCTTTGTTTTTTAATTGTTTGAGGCATTTTTGTTTCTGCATGTGAATATTCTTTTAGTACTTTTTTCCTGATTACAAAAGTAGTGCATATTCATTGTAGAGACACTTGGAAAACAACAAAGCAGAAAAACATCCTCTCTGGACCACTGGGAGACGGCCACTGCTAACAGTCTGGTGTGGGCCCTTTCTCTGCTCATGCACCCAGAAACACATATGTGTACATAGTTACATATTTTAGCAAAACTTTTATGCTGTGTAGACAGGAAATAACCTGCTTTTCTCACTTAATAAGCATGTCATGAGTATTTCCCAACCAACATTGGCTTTAATGGCTACATGGTATCATTAGTCCTTATTCTGGGCATCTGGATTCTTTCTAATGGTTTGCTATTAAGTATCTGTGTTACGTCCACCTCAGCACTTTTCTCTGCTTATTTCTTAAGGGATAGATTCCAAAATACGGAACTGTTAGAGTAATCCACGTGTGCACATTTTTTAGGGTTCTCCCTTCTGACATGTTTCACCGTTCACATTTGAGAGGACATGCCTGTTTTCTTATACTTAGGGTAGCGTCAACTTTTGTATTCATTTTTGCTTATCTTTTCCTTTTTCTTGGGAGTTTTCAAGGAACTTTCAGAACCAAGGGACTCAAGTCAGTCATGCCCCCCCTCACAGTCACTGGTTGACCTATCAACTCCCTTTTTTCCCTGGGCAGAGCGGTACCCTGAAGACAGCCCTGCTGGACTACATCAAACGCTGCCGTCCCGGGGACAGTGAGAAGCACAACATGATTGCTCTGTGCTTCAGCATGTGCCGGGAGATCGGGGAGAACCACGAGGCGGCTGCCTGCATCCAACTGAAATTGATCGAGTCTCAGCCCTGGGGTGAGCAGAGCTCACAGCAGCGCCCCCAGGCCAATGCTGCCAGCCAGCAAAGGTTTTTGGGACTAAGAAGGGCTAGAGCCCAGGAGATTAATACCCTCTTCAGCTGCTAACGGCCACTCAGTGGGGCCCCAGCTGTGCAGACAAGAGATGGAAGGGGTTTTGGAAGGCATTTGCCCCTCTTATAGCCCGTGCGCCCGGGGTGACATCGATCTGGAATTAATGTGTACACTGAGGCCTGTTTTGATGCTTCTGAGACTAGATGAACCCTACTCCAGAATGTGCACTTCTGGCCCAGTAGCCTTTACATGAGACATGCCCACCTCCCTGTGAATGAGCTGGGATGTTTCTTGTCCAGCCCACCATCACTGAATGGGGTGGGAGCAGCCAGCCTCGGGACTCAGACACACCCCACAGGTTTCCCCTTCTCTCCTGCAGAGGAGCGCCTCAAGGACGGGCACCACCTGAAGCAGCTGCTGCTGAAAGCCCTGACTCTGATGCTGGATGCGGCAGAGAGTTATGCCAAGGTAATAACGGAGAGTCTTATTCCAGAACAGCCTTAGGGCTTGGTGTCTGCAGTAGAAATGATCTGATCTTCTCCCTGGGCTCTTCCAAGTGAAGAGGGACGCAGCCTTGTCCAACTGGGAGCGGAAGGGGTGAGTTCAGTTGCTGGAAGGTTCATGGGGGACCTGCCAACAGTCTCTTCCTTTGTCTTCCTCTGCCCTCGTCCCTCAGGACTCCTGTGTGCGACAGGCCCTGCACTGTCACCGGCTCACCAAGTTGATAACGCTGCAGATTCACTTTCTGAACACTGGCCAGAACACAATGCTCATCAACCTGGGCCGCCACAGGCTGATGGACTGTATCATTGCTCTACCTCGGTTCTACCAGGTAAGCATGGAAGGAAATCGAGCCAGCTTTCCTGCCGTCCCTCTCCTAGGGCCCATGGATTGAATCACTTGCCTAAAACATCAGGACTAGAGACAGAGTCAGGACAATTCTAAGCTTTTACCTTTAGCTGTCTGATACACCAAATTGCTTTTCACGGCAGGATTTGTTAGCGTACTGTTTGGACAGAGGTTGGAGGCTGCTGCTAGGACGGCAGAAAGGCAGACACATTCCTGCTAAGGACTGAGTAGCTCTGAGCCCCGGTGTTTCCAGGATGCTGCACCTGGGTTAGCACAGGGAGTCAGGGCTGCTGGGAGGCTGGCTTTAGCACTTGAGTGAGAAAGGGTTACCAGGGAATCAGCCCCTTCCCTGTCCCTTACACAGTTGAGTTAGTGGGAAAAATAGTGTTTCTCAGCAGTTTTATTAATTCATTGTGAAGATTAAAAACACCGCAGGAAGATGTCTGGGGTTTAAGGGAAATGTCAAACGAACACCAAACTTTTCCCCAATGTTAGTACAGAGATGCTGGTGATGGTCACATTCACCGAGAGTGTATGAAGTTGTTTTCTAGAACACCTTGCCTTCCATTTTATATCAAATAGGGTCTAATGGTACCTTTTTTCCCTCCATCCTTTTATAAGGCTTCTATTGTGGCCGAGGCCTATGACTTTGTTCCTGATTGGGCTGAAATTCTATACCAACAAGTGATTCTTAAAGGAGACTTCAATTACTTGGAAGAATTTAAGCAGCAAAGGTTATTAAGATCTAGTATATTTGAAGAGATTTCAAAAAAGTAAGTATTAAAATGACTCTGCTTTGAGATAAGGCATGGGTTAAGAATTCTATGGCTAAATAAAACATGTCTTCAGCTGCCTGAGATGGCAAACAGATGTCAAGAATCCCCAGGGGCACCTGGCTGGCTGGCTCAGCTGGTTGAGCATCAGAACTTTTGGTTTCGGCTCAGGTCATGATCTCGCAGTTGATGAGATCGAGCCCTGCATCAGGCTCTGCACTACCAGTGCCTGGGATTCTCTCTCCCTCTCAGAATAAATCCACTTAAAAAAAAAAATCTCCAGAAGCAAGAGATTTTTAAACAAATTTATGCAAGTAGATGAATGAGAACAGTTCACTTACAGCACTCTGAATTTAAAATGGGAGGATAGCTGTTCAACTTGTCCAAGGTGCCGAAAACTCTAAACCTCAGAGGTCACCTTTGGGGTACTGAACTTACTGCAATTAAAGTGAGCATTAAGATAACATTTTTAATGAAATAATTTCATGTGTATCTAGGACCCCTCATATCACAGAATTTCTCAGATTCCAGCATCCTCTCCTATGTAAGTAGCTGGGTCAGAGTAGACAGCCCTCGCTCATGATACAGTATCTTAACTTGCACATTCTTCTGTTTCTTTTCTAGATACAAACAGCATCAGCCTAGTGACACAGTTGTGAAAAACCTGAAGAAGTTACTCACGTATTGTGAAGATGTCTACTTGTATTACAAGCTTGCATATGAACACAAATTTTATGACATTGTAAATATGCTTCTGAAGGACCCTCAGACTGGCTGCTGTCTAAAGGACATGCTAGCAGGTTAGGTGGATTCAGACAGGAGGGTGGTTACTGCTGAGATGCCATAGATACCTGTTTTCTTGTACTGAAGTGAGTTAACGACAGATGTTTGTTCAGAATAACACGTTAGGGATATTTGCTGTCAAGTTGTAAAACCCCAGGACTGACCATAACCAGTCCTCCGTGAATAGTGGGTAAATGAGAGAATTTTCACAAGGAAATTCTTATTTAAAAGTGATTGTTCATCTCCACCACTTCAGATAGTATATAATATTGGTATAAAGATCAAAACCTCCATCTTCCTGAAGATGGCTTCTATTTAGATATGCATTTAGTGATTAAAGAATATCTGTGCCTGCAGATTCCAGTTTCAAAGTTATTTAATATTATTTACACAGTTAAGGAACAGATGATACATTTCCATTTGTTAGAAACTGATCTCTATAATAAAATAGATTTTAAATTCACTGTATGTCATTATTACTGCCAAGGAAATCTTAGCCCTTGTCTGCCTTAAAATAATCTTTCTTTTACTGTAATTATTGCTGTGTAGTCATTGCTTTCTGTTAATTCCTCAAATCACTTAGACGGCTCTTGCTCTTGGTATAGTCTACAGAGCTTTGATTGAGGTTCCTATTTCCTATTTGAAATTTAAAACATTTTTTGTTCTGTTCCTACTTTTGATTTTCTGACGGTTTCAAAAAAGACTCCAACCACAAATTTGGTTAAGTTGCTTAAAATATATAATAAAGAAGATCATTCAGTCTATGCTTACAGCCGTAACCTGAGTAATCTCAATTACTCCAAATAAATAAGCTCTTCTAGGTACGGAGTTAGGCCTTAGTTTATTATCTAAGTAAGCAAAAAATCTGCCCAAATAAATAAGGAGAGGAAGGCAGCCCTATACCTTTGTTGCTCTCAGGTGATACTATTCAGGGCCTGGCATATCATTTTGTCTTAAAGCTGTAACTGCTCATCAGGCATTTATTAATAGCTTTGTAAGTATACAGAGATCTCTAGGCCCAAGAGCTGTGTTCTATACTCTCCAAAAATATCTCTTGGGAGTTAACACAAAATTTAAGTCCTCACAATAGTGATTTTATTAAATTAGTTGCTTTATAAAACATTGCAGATGTCATAATTGTTAACATAACAATTTACCAAACTGTAGTCAACTGGTGCAGTTTGCCGAGCATGTTTTATAAAGGAAAGGAAATGCCAAAACCCTGTTAAAGTTGTTCCATTGCAGCCCAGGAGAACAAAGGAGGATTGTTCAGACACTTAAATCAGGGAAATGAAACAGGTAAAGAGCTTCCCTCCCCCGTCTGAAGCACTGTGTCAGCAGAACAGTCTGATAAACAGAAACTAGACAGTCTATGCATTCAAGAGGTTCCCCAACTTGTAATGCAACGCAGTAAGGGAGCGGTTTACCTTCTTCAGCTTTGAAGTTGGAAGGTTTTGGTCATTTAATTTTTAAATATCAAGCTAGTGCTTTTCAGCCGTTGTATCTCCACTCTTGAGATAAGCAGTCTTCTTCACAATGTATTTTTAATATCCTCACGCTCAATTTTAAGACAAAGCAATTTTAATACTAGGTGCACACGGCATGCCCTTGCTGCAAACTGCTTTTCTTGACAAGTTATGAAGTAGTTCAAGGAGGTATGGTTAAGGCTGTATTACTGAATGGTGCTGGTAAATACTCCACAATTTTTGTCATGTTGCAACTTTTGTTTCCAATTCAGTGACTGCTGCTATGGAATCAGAGAGCAACAATGACAACATTATTAGGTTTTTGTTTTTGTTTTTTAACTATGATTTAGTAGCAACTGAGGTTCCCAATTTTAACCCCTTGGCAGCAAGATCCAAGTTCCCTCATTCGCACATTAGCACCTAAGTGTCAAGGGGTTAAATAACCAGCACAAAAGATACTGCACTTCTGATTGTAGCATTTGGCAGAACTGAAAGGAAAGGAAGTTGTGCTACATGTTGAAGGGATTGTGGGCAACAGAAAGAAGACACCAGGAGAAGATAAAATGTCACATGAAGTCTTCATAGTCCTGTACATATCCTCCATCATAACCACCATAATCTGCCAGATCGTCTTTCATGGTGGCCTTTAATCCCCCTCCAGGAACCACGCCTTTCTTCTTCTTTTTGGCTTTGCTTTGCTAAAGACAAAAGAGAGTTAATTCATGAGACTGTCTACCTATGAGCAGCTTTTCTGGTACAGAAACCCTCACCGAGACACTAAAGCCTCGGGTACCCCCCCCCCCAAAAAAAAAAACCTTCAGGAGAGATCTCAAGACCTAACCCCAGGAAATGTCTATTAATTTCCAAAGAAAACTCTGAACATGTCTGTGAACAAAAGGACAGTAATGCCACTCATGCCCCAGCTCTATTCCAATTTAAGTTTTAGTTCAGACTCCCAGTACACTCCACCCCCATCCTAATGTGACAGGCATTTCCCCTGCATGTTTGCCCTTACCTTTTCTTGCTTTTGTTTTTCACTGCAAAGCACAGTCAATGAATTGGTAATCTTTTTCAAGTCATCAATTTCCACTAAAAAAAAGGAAAAAGGAATTACTGAAGTTAATGATGGACAAATTAGATGTAGTAATTTTGAAAAGGCTATGAATTTGTCCTGTTAAACATAAGACAAAGAATCATGAGTCAGTCTATGGCTAGGCTCACAAATCAGAACTATTTAAAATAGCTAACTCCAGCAACAAAACTTTCTTTACCTCCTATAACCAAGACACCACTGTTTGAAAAGAAACCAGAAGTGTCTTTAGTGTTCCCTACTGTATACCCCCTTACTCAGTCTAAACATGTGAAGGGGCAAAAAAATAAACACATGGAGGATAACCATGCCTTTCCACAACTTTGGGGTCTCTATTTTCTATCACTTCTAAGATGGGAACCAGAATGAAAACAGTAGGTTATTTCAGAAATCTCAGTGTCCTACTAGGAGACAAGTCTGTTTAGTGGACAAAACATCCTTCGATCTTTTTTTTTTTTTTAATTTTAACATTTATTTTTGAGACAGATCACGAGCAGGGGCGGGGCAGAGAGAGAGAGGGACACACAGATGGGAAACAGGCTCCAGGCTCTGAGCTAGCTGTCCACACAGAGCCCGACACGGGGCTCGAACCCACAAACTGAGATTATGATCTCAGCCGAAGTCGGACAACCGACTGAGCCACCCAGGTGCCCCTACATAACTTCAATCCTTATAAAAATATCAAGCTGAAACACATCAGTTTTAGCTACCAAAAGAGTGTTTCAGTTTTGGTTAGAGAGCACCTTCAAAAATAAGAAAAAAAGTATGTGTATATCACTAATCAGATTAAGAACTCCCAGCTTAGTAATGGTTTCTCAAGGAAACCCCAATTTAAAGTTCACTGTGCAGAATTCCTTTTTCTCAATCTTAAAAACAGCAGTGCTAGCAAAAACAGTCCTTTCCACATAAGTGCCACACCACCCCTGGTTTTTACTCCCACACACCCTGTCTCTGAAATGTATGACTCCTTTCAGGGCATGGCACCACACCCACAGACCCAGAATATAGGCAGGTACCTGTTCTATTGAGCAACTTAAACCTAGTCACAGACTTCCTTGTTTGTAAAATGAACAGACACTTGCTGTGGTCACACTCAACTCTAAAATCCCATATGCTCAGAGACCATTTTCCCCAAAAGACACTTCCTAGTCCGTTTAAGATATAATTAGATAAAAGAATAAGCTAGTGTTTTATCAGCTCTGTATTTCAGCAAAGTCCAGATGTTCCTTGGGGAAGCCATTTTAAAATCATTAAGGCAGCCTCAAAAACCAAAACCCCTCAAACTCCCTGGGAATTTGCAGAACATTCCCAAGGTAACTTCTAAAAAAGGAAATCCTAAGTCTATTATAGCATCCCCCAAAAAAGTCAACCTTCATCCTCCTGAGTATGACGTGCTCTTACTAAAGTCCGCCCACAGAGTTAGAATTACTTACATGAAATACACACATCTCGAACTAAAGCTTCCAAAAAACTGGCATAATATAGTGACTTTTCATATTGTGTAATTTTATCTTTTAGTAACTTTCCAAACTCGGTGAAGTCATCTCTTGAAGATGGATTCATAGCATCTATTCCATAAACTGTATTATTAACACCTGCAAGAGAAGAAGGGGCACTAAAAATATCAGATTTTTTTTTTAAATTTATAAACCAATTAGGTATGTGAACAACCCTGTTATTGCATGCTAAAGCAGAAGTTCTTAACCTGGGTCCACTGGGATTCTTGGATAGAATTCAGGAGGTCTGTGAATTTAGATGAGATCAAAGATTACAGCTTTACTTTCATTAACCTCTAATTTAGCATTTTCTTCCATTTTGATTATAGGCAACAAATCTCAGTGGTCATAACTAGCAAAAACCTATCACTAGGAAAAATCAGATATTTTCATATCACATTACAGTTGTAGTTCTCTTAAAATATTGTTTTGGTCATCATTACTTTCAAATTATATTACTTAGTAGATAAAACTGCCACTAGATCTTATTTAATGCTTTAAGAAGCACATTATTACTGTATCTCAAGTCTTTTTAATATTATACCCATTTCAACATAACAGGCTTCCTTAGTAAGTAAAATTCTGTGTAGTTTTGTTTCTGTATTTAAAAACATCATATCAAGAAGGAACTTGTAGTTTTCACCACAGCACCAAGAGAGTCCCTGGCACAAAAAGGATGTTTTCAAAGTATATGTCTAGGAACAGCCTGCAGCAGGGGAGGACCTGGGTGGCTCAGCTGAGCGTCTGACTCTTGATTTCGGGTCAGGTCATGATCCCACTGTCATGGAATCAAGCTCTGCATCAGGGTCCAGGGTGAGTGTGAAACCTGCTTGGGATTCTCTCTGCCCCCTCCCCCTCAAAAAAAAAAGGTTCCTGTCACAGTATACAGCTGACTCCAGAAGCCAAGTAGGGATAAACCATGTGTTGAAATCCCAACAGAGGGGCACCTGAGTGGTTCAGTCATTTAAATATCTGACTTTGGCTCAAGTCATGATCTTGCAGTTTGCTGGTTTGAGCCCCGCATCAGGCTCTGTGCTGACAGCTCAGAGCCTGGAGCCTGCTTCGGATCCTATGTCTCCCTATTTCTCTGCCCCTCCTCTGCTCATGCTCTCTCTCAAGAGTAAGTAAACATTAAAAAAAAATTTTTTTTTAAATCCCAACACAAAGAATCTGGCCTAAAAGTATTCTAGGCTAAGGGACAGTATACTTTGTATCTTCCTCAATAGCAAACTAGTTGTTAACAGTATCACTGATTCAGTATTTTAGTATGGGAAATACAACATTAAAACCCTATTAACCAAATGATGGCTGTATGAATCCATGTTTTTGCCTTGTAATCTGTAATTGTGGTCCCATTTTAGAATTTATAAGTACCATGTAAACTCTTGTCTTTAATAAATACTTGGCTGGGTGTTACCATGCTATGAAGACACTGGATAATGGCTGCATGCCCTCTGCACTGAGGTGTGTGCACAGAAGCAACCACAGCAACTCCTCAGATGGCCAGCAACTCTCGGAGTAAGAAAATCACACCTCCCACAGAAAGGACAATGATCTCTTGTCAGCCTGCCTGATCCCATTTTAAAGAACAGGAAGGATGGGGATACAATTAGCTCTAGGTTTCAAAGTTCTTTAACTGTTTCAACATGATCTTCTACTCTGAAAAGTACTCAATAGGTAATGACAACAATGAGCTTAATTAAACAAAAGGAGAACTTTTAACTACTTCTTCGGCCATGTTTCTTACTTTCCCCTTCATGTCACATCTCTCTCCCCCTAGAACACTCCAAACTTCCCTACATACAGGATCCTGAGTATGTTTTTTATCTCATGTACCAAGCACAGCTGTAACACGGCACAGAGAAATGGAAGCCTGCTAAAGACAGGGCATGTTGAGGGCCAAGAAGGGTCACAGAAAGAAATGATCCGGAGCAAAGGCACAGCTGAAGCTGAATGTCCCACAAGGACATTCTTATCTAGATTTAAGACAATAGGACAGCCTTATAGTTACTTTAATACTTAAACCTCAAAGTCAAAGACCTCACATTTCATCCAAATTTCATCCAGCTGATAAATTTAAAGAAACAGTAAACTTTGTTTGGGTCCAATGATTTATCTTAATAACCTTTTACGTGATACTCAAAACATAATCATTAAAAAATCTGAAGATGTATTTCACTCTGCCTTAAGCAACTAAACAAATATAGAATAAAAACTGCTTCTAATATCTAAGTTAGCCAGTATTGTTATGCCAAAAAAGATGTTTTCTAAACTTTAATAACTAGTCAGACTTCCGCAATATGCACTTGGAACTTCAATATTTCACAGCAATCACCCCCTCCCTGCACCTTACCGAAAGTTTCTTTTGCTAATTCAAGGTCTGACTCTTCTTGTAATTTCTTTAGCCGCAGTTTATCTGCTAATTGTTCTTCTGGTGTTAGCACTTTAGGCTCTTCAGGTTCTTCTAACTAAAATGAGACAGAAAGGAAGTTTTAAAACAACTGGGATTACGATGGAGCAGTACGTTTTTGTTGTGTAAATTTTTTAATAAAAAATTATAAATAACAGCACTTATAAAGAGTTTATTATATTTCAGGCATCCTTCTAAACACTTTAGACGTTCTTATCCTGATTTTACATGAAAAAAATTTGAGGCACAGAGAGGTTAAGCAACCTGCCTATGGTAACAGAAGGTTAACACAGCTGCTGTGTGCTAATGTGAGAGAGCTGAGTTTAGAACCCAAGACGACTGGGTTTACTTTCACAGCCTTTTTTAAAAGATATGGAATTGAGATTGTAGACAAGGGAAAAATCACACTCTCACATTCTGCTGCTAAAGACTGTATATTGAAACAACCTTTCTACAGCAACTTGGTAATGTGCATCAAGTCTTAAAATACTTTTATATGCTTTATGTGGAATCAATTCCACGTCTACGTATTTATCTTAAGAAACCAAAAATGCACACTAACATTTAGTCACAAGAATGTCCAATGGAGTATTACTTATAATTTCAAATAAGTTTAGACATAACCCAAATGTTCAACAAAAGAATAGTTAAACTATGCCACAGCCAGGGCACCTGGGTGGCTCAGTCGGTTAAGCATCCGACTTCGGATCAGGTCATGATCTCACAGTTGGTGGGTTTGAGCCCCGCGTTGGGCTGTGTGCTGACAGCTGGCTCAGAGGCTGGAGCCTGCTTCAGATTCTCTATCTCTCTCTCTGACCCTTCCTGCTCACATTGTCTCTGTCTCTTTCTCTCTCTCTCACAAATAAAAACATTAAAAATTAAAATATGCCACAGCCATATGACAATACAGAATAACAGGTTTGAACAGCATGGGTCCACTTATTCACAGACTTTTTTGATGTTTACAGTACAGCAAATGTATTTTCTCTTCATGATTTTAACATTTTCTTTTCTCTAGTTTACTGGAAGAATACGGCACAAAATACACACAACTACAAAATTGTGTTGACTGTGTTAGTAGTAAGGCTTCCAGTCAACAGTAGGCTATTAACAGTTAAGTTTGGGGGAAGTAAAAAGTTATATGTAGCTTTTCGACTGTGCAGGGGTCAGCACCCCTAGCCCCCATGTTGTTTACGAGTCAACTGTACTGTGCAAACAAAAAAAATGTTTTGGGGGCACATGTGTGGCTCAGTCAGTTGAGCGTCTGACTCTTGATTTCCATCCAGGTCATGATCACCCAGAGTCATGGAATGTGGCCCCACATCAGGCTGCATCTCTCTCTCTCTCTCTCTCTCTTCCCCCCCCCCGCTCCCTCTCTCTCCCCATCTCCCACTTGTGCACCCACACATAACCATGTTTTTCCCCAAAGAATCATAAAAACATTTTCCTCTTATTTTTTATATTACTACTATTACAAAAGTAACACATTATCATTGTTAACAAATTTAAAGACACCGCAATAGAAGTTGTCACTTATTTTCCAGTTCTACTTCTCTGGCAGTCAATAGTTTAGTGAATATCATTTTATACTGTGATACTTCCTACAACAAATGTATCACTATTACTATGAGGAAAAATCTGTGACAGTATTTATTCAAGTGGGAAAAAAGCAAAGGGAGCTTATGCCATTTGTAGTTAACTATGTCTATGCAGCTTGCAGATTCTGACTCAAAAGTCTACTACTGAAATACACTGCATTTTGTTTCTCATGGAGAAGATGAAATAAGAAATATCATTATGGCAAGTTAGGAACTCTCAGAATACTCTGTAGAAAGAAAAAAGCAAATATCTTGACTTAACTCTCTTTGTAGATCTGGACATCGTTAAGTATTTCCTACATCAAAACTAAACCCATCTTGGGGCACCTGGGTGGCTCAGTTGGTTAAGCGTCCGACTTCAGCTCTAGTCATGACCTCACGGTTCGTGGGTTCAAGCCCCATGTCGGGCTCTGTGCTGACAGCAAGCTCAGACCATGGAGCCTGTTTCAGATTCTGTATCTCCCTCTCTCTCTGACCCTCCCCTGGTCATGCTATCTCTCTCTCTCAGAAATAAATAAAAAACATTAAAAAAAAAAAAACTAAACCCATCTTAACTCAATATTTTACCTAAGACAAACATAGCATACTCTAACGAATAAGGTTTCTTTATGTTGGATACAAATACCAGGACACAACAAAAGAAGTATAAATTCTAACTTCAATGACCAAGAAAGATCTAGTAAAGATGGCTTCTTAGGCAGAGTTTTAAGATTCTATTGCTTGTTCTGATTATAGAAACATACATGTAAATATTTCTAGATATACAAGTATAAATTATTTAAATGTCCCTGACTGGGGAAACAGGCACTCTCATCCATTGTTGGCAAATGCAAACTGGTACAACTGGGTAAGGAGGGCAATTTGGGAACACTTACCAAGACTACAAATGTAATTTGCCCTTTGACCCAGCAATTTCTGATTTGACAATTAATCCTACAAATATGACTACACCCATTAAAAATGACACACATGTGGTTATTCATGGAAGCACTGTTCATTCGAGTACAGTACTGGGGAAAAAGATCCAGCTGCCCATGACTAGAAGACTGGTGAAATAAAATACGGTACATATTTGTAGCAATGGAATACCATACAGCTATAAAAGAAAGAAAAAAAGAATAAGCCAAAAACTAGTGAAAATGGAGATTTCTTATAGGGGGTGACAGGGAACAGAATGGAGGGGACAGAACAGGAAGGATGTTTGAGACTTTTCTGAGTATAACATTTTTGTATGGTTTTCCCTTCTGAACATTTTATGTTTAAAAAATAAAATTAAAAAGGAAAGAAAACTTTAAAAATGGAAATGGTAACAAATGAATCTAAAATGTGTATCAAAAGGCATATTGACATGGAAAAGAATAGAAATGACTTTAGAACCCAGGATATAATTATACATCCTTAGCAGGATATATTCTCTGTGCAAAAAGAAAAGAAAATCCTGCAAAGAAATTCTAAACTTTTTTTATTGGAAGTCCAAATTTTATTTTTTTTATAGTTTATTGTCAAGTTGGTTTCCTTGTAACACCCAGTGCTCATCCCAACAAGTGCCCTCTTCCATGCCTATCACCCATTTTTCACTCTCCCCCACCCCCATCAACCCTGTTTGTTCTCAGTATTTAAGAGTCTCTTGTGGTTTGCCTCCCTCCCTCTCCTTAACTATTTTTTTCTCCTTCCCCTCCCTCGTGGTCCTCTGTTAAGTTTCGCCTGTTTCACATGAGTGAAAACATATGGTATCTATCTTTCTCTGCCTGACTTACTTTACTTAGCATAACACCCTCGAGTTCCATCCACATTGCTACAAATGGACAGAGGAAATCCTAAACTTAAAGTAGCTTTACATTGTTAGTACTGGTATTGCAGAAAAGCAATGTATGTTAACATTATTAGAAACCATGAACTAAAGCTTACACACACAACACATACTCACTCATTTATTTCCTAGCTTCACCTATAAAAATGGGTCTAGAAGGCAAGGCTACCTCGATAATGCTAAGTGCTACTAGCAACTAGATTTGACTTCTAAACATTTCCATTAGGAACCTCAGAGAAGTAGCACATTCCAGGCCTAAAGAAGAGTTTACCAGATGAGTCCGGCATTTCTTTATTGTGCCAGAAGGCAAGGACGTTTTCAAAGACTAATGGGGTTCGGCCAAAAGGATGAAGATTAGACCAACTGAAAGGGTTTCCTACTGGCCAAAGTTGGGAAAATCTGAGCATCAAAAGAATAATTACTGTTACCTGAGTAAAACACAATGAATTTATAAAACCTGTTAGTCTACAAATTTACTCAAAAGAAATACACCCCCACAAACCCCTCAGTTTTCACCATTTGAAGTTATTATTACACTCCCTCCTTACTCTGGATATTAGTGGTTAAAAGAAAACAATTAAGCTTTTACTCTGCCTTTCTAGCACAAACCATATTAAAGTAATCAAACAGCAAAGTAAGTAGAAGAGGAAGAAAAGCTGGCCAGTAACAAATGGAAGAGAAGTCACTGGATGAGAAAAATCACCATTCTGCAATCCCTAATAAAATAATTAGGCAACAATCATTACTGACACTAAACTAATGGGTCGGAGGTTGATGTGAAATTGGAATACTTGCAAGAATATGTAATTTTACAATAGAAGGATCAGGCTACTACCACCTTAACCCAGTCATCAATTTTAGCATCACTAATAATAGGACAGACGTTACAAGACTCTTGATGTGATATGACGTAATATGAAGCACACAGCATGACCTATAAAGTATTCCAATTAAAAATGTTTAATCTGAATCCAATCAAAATTTTAGACTTACTGGCCAAGTTACAGGAAATTGCAACTGTAAACAATCACACATCGAGAAGGTAGGATGTTCTACAAGACAAATGGTCTCCTCCCTTCAATAAGTGAATGTCATTTTACTTATTTTTTTTTTAGTTCGTATATTTTGAGAGAGAGAGAGAGCATGTGCATATGCATAAGCAGAGCATGGGGTGGGGGGTGGGGCAGAGAGGAGAAACAGAACTCCAGGCAGGCTCTGATCTATCAGCCAAGAGCCTGGTGTGGGGCTTGAACTCACGAACCATGAGATCATGACCTGAGCCGAGATCAAGAGTTGGATGCTTAACCGACTGAGCCACGCAGGACCCCTCAATGTCATTTTAAAAACAGAAAGAAAGACACTCTAGGAGACTTAGGATATGTTTACAACCTAATGCAATGAATGTAAGGTCCTTGTTCAAACCATATGTAAAAGCCATTTGAGGACAATTAGAAATTGGGCACATACAGGGGCACCTGGGTGGCTTAGTTCGTTAAGCCTAAGGCTCTTAATCTCAGCTCAGGTCACGAACTCACAGTCATGAGATCAAGCCCCACATCAGACTCCACACTGAGCGTGAAGCCTGCTTGAGATTCTATCTTCCTCTGCCCCTTCCCTGCTCTGTGCACTCTCAAAAAAGAAAAACAAAAAAAAGCAGATAGAGTATTTGATGATGTTAAAAAATTACTGTTCATCCTACTGGGTTCATAATCATGTGACAAATAGCTTTGATTTTTCAGAGATGCATACTGAAGTATTTAAAGGTAAAACACATGTTTTACTTACTTGATCATATTTTAACAACAAAAATGAAGCAAATATGACAAAATATTAGCACCTGTTCAATTTAGGTGATATTTTTGATTATTCATTATGGTTACTGCTCTACTTTTTGGGGAGGATTTTTTTTTAATGTTTATTTTTGAAAGAGAGAATGAGAGACAGAGACAGAGCACAAGTGGGGAAAGGGCAGAGAGAGGGAGACACAGAATTCATTGAGGAATTATTTCTCTGACAGTGTCCATTTATAGTCTTTACAAAGCTCTCAGACTGCTAGGTAATAATTGCTGTCTATTGACATTGCAGGATTACTGATGTGAGAATTCTGTATTTCAGGAAATGAATAGTACTTACCCTCTTTTTAATTTCTTCTTGCCTTTTCTTCTGTTGCCGTTCTTTCTCTTTTATCTTCTCTGCAATTTTTTTCTTTTCTGAAATTTTTACTTCTAAAAGAAATGTTTTAATCACAGTTACCTTGAATATTTCCCAGTTTATGGATGAGACAGATAACAATAGTATACTTCAAGAGACCAAACTTCTCCCAGCTCCAATCATATGCTGATTTACTCGCAAATAAGAATGGGAAAGTCCTGGGACTCTTCCTTTCTCTTGTCTTATCTGACTGACCCCTAGGGCCCAGACATCTCCCTTCATATTTCCCCAGTTCTTTCAGCAGGATATAGATTATTAAAATATGAGGTCACACCCTCTACTGTCTCCTCCTAACAGCAGCACTCAAACAGAATGAGGCAGGCAGTATCCATCTGATGATGTTTTGAGGGGAGAAGAAGAGAATAAATTGAGAACGGAAGGATGTGTGGTTTCTAAACACAAAAATTTTCAATTTTGCAAGCATTTTGTCATTTATCTTGACATAAGTATTACATGCTCACTAAGATATAAAACCAAAAATGAAGAAAACCCAGCGGCTCACCTGGTTTTACTTCTGCTTCCTCTTTTTTTTCATCATCATCATCATCCCAGTTATCCTAAAGAAAAGGATTTATATTAATAATTCTTGCATGTTTACTTTTCCATGTACAACTTGTCTAACTCCACAGAAACAAGTTTGTTACTATTTTTTTTGTATTGCACTAAAATTGTAAATTAATGCTGGAAAAAATGCACACCTTCATAATGTTGAGCCACTCTAGCCAAAGGAAAAGGGTTGTTTTTCCATCTGTTCAAGTCTATTTCTGTCTCTTTCAAGGAATGTTTTAAAGTTTCTCTCTTGGAGGTTTTGTGAATTTCTCTTCAGGTTTATTCTTAAGTATTTCTCTTCTGCATTCCTACTGTAAATAGGGTTTTTCCCCTGTTATGTGCCCTATTTAGTTATTATTTGTGTATGCAATTGGTTTTTACATGTTAATTTTATATCCTGCTACCTTACTGAATTAATTTGTCACTTTCATTGATTCTCTAGAGTTTTCCAAGTGTACTATAATATCATCTGTAAATGAGAATGGCTTTACTTCTTTACCAATTCTTATACCTCCACAACTGATTTATCTGACAGCACTGGCTAAACCTCTAGTACACTGTGAATAGTGGCAGAGATAATAGGCATCACTGCCTTGTTCTTTTTTTAAAAAAATTTTTTTAATGTTTTATTTATTTCTGAGTGAGAGAGAGAGAGAGATAGAATGAACAGGGGAGGGTCAGAGAGAGAGGGAGACAGAATCTGAAACAGGCTCCAGCCTCTGAGCTAGCTATCAGCATAGAGCCCGACGCGGGGCTCAAACTCATGAAACCATGAGATCATGACCTGAGCCAAAGTCGGACGCTTAACTGACTGAGCCACGCAGATGCCCCGCCTTGTTCTTTTTTTTTTTTTTTGAGAGAGAAATAGAGAGCAAGCGGGGGAGGGGCAGAAAGAGAGACAGAGAGAATCCCAAGCAGGCACCATAATGTCGGCACAGAACCCAAGGCAGGGCTTGAACTCAGAAAACTTGAGATCATGACCTGAGCCAAAACCAAGCGTCAGATGCTTAACCCACTGAGCCACTCAGGCGCCTTGCCTTTGTTGCTCTTAATGGAAATGCTTCCAGTATTTCCCTATGAAGTGTATGCACCCCACATTTATGCAGTAAAATTTACCAGTCTTTTCTTACTGCCTGTGGATTTCATCAAGTCATTTTCTTCTAGAACATGTAAGCTTTGTTTTTTATTTACATCTCTAGTCCATGTGGAATTTTTTCTTTTGTGTGGTATGAACTATGGATCTAATTCTTTTTCTAAATGGTTACCCAACTGTCACAGCATCAGTTATTAAAAAGTACACCTGAACCCTGTGATTTAACATACACTAAATTTTCACAGGTACTTGGTCTGTTTCTGCATTCCCACTGGTCTACTGTTTCTTCATGCATCAATACCAACACTGCTTTCATTATTTTAACTATAGTATGTTTTAATGTAGGTCAGGTCTGGTTCCCTCCCTTATAGGTTTTCAGGCTTTTTAGTATTTTCCTGGCCATTCTTGCATGTTTGTTTTCCCATATGAAATTTTGTATCAACTTGTCTAATTCTATTTTAAAAGAAAAAAGCTTCTCCATTAACAAAACACAAGACAACTAGGCCAAAACTACTTCTCTTAAAGTAATTTGCAGTTGTTTTAAATAAAAAATTAAAAGGACTTTATATTTCTTATTTTCCCAAATATGAAAGCATCCAACATTCTAGCCAATGGCTCAATGATTTCAAGCAACATTCCATACAACACAACTCTGATTAATGAATTAAATCTATAGAATATTTAAGGCCCAGTATTTAAGAGCAGTTGAAAGCTGATCAATAGCTTATTGAACCCACTCCCTAACTTGAGCAGGGCACTTTAAGGTCAATCTATACTCATGTCTTTTCTATATCTAACACAGTCACTGAACTAAATATAAACCGATTATCAAACAATTTCCCAAAGGCTCCAAAGAATTTAGAAATGTGTAAGTTTAATAGGGATAGCCATTTAAAGCTGAACCACAGGATTGCAGGAGGCCCTGCTGCTACTGGAAGATGTAGAGACTGACTAATGTGCCATAACTATGACACCAAGCTTCTGTTTTACAACAAGATAGATCATAATGTGAATCAGTCTAGGTATTTAAACTAACAAAGCCTCAATTTTAATAAAATTCTCTAAGTCCACCAAAGAACTAAAAAAACCCCAATTAAGGCTGTCATGGGCTCTGCAAGCAGAGTAGAAAGAAACTTGGATAAAAGTAAAATATTTTTATAATCACCTCACCTTGGCAATTTAACTCACAGTTCAAAGTTAACAGACTGAAAGCAAACCTGCTAGTCATTATTTGGACATCTAAGATACAAGAGTTAGAAATTAAAAAGCAAATGTTTGTATAATCTGACTGGTTTTCTTAAATGCTTGTTATCAATACACCACAGTACAAAAGGAACCCTAGAGTTGAAAATAAAAATGAACTATTAGGAGTTTTTTGTTGTTTTAATCTTCACAGAACATAAAAAGCTTGGTCTGTGGGTGAGATTCTGCTTAGGCAGTGCTCCAGACAGGAAGACCATTTGCTTACTTCAAAGAGGTACATATTCATCACTCTCTATTAATGATAGTGATGATGATGATGATAATAAGGCATTTACTGAGTGTTTATTTTGCACCAGGCACTGTGCAAAGGGCCTTACATGTAGTAACAGAGCTAACCCTCACAAAGTCCTGTAACTAAGGTGGTGTTGTCCCCATCTTATAGGTAAGAACATTAAGGCCCTCAGATAGCTATCCCAAAATCTCAGTGAAAAACAACAAAGGAACCAAACCAAACCAAACAACAAACAATGAAGTAAACAGGTCTGAACAGACTAAAGTTCATTTAAATGGTCATAGTAAACAACTTCTTACTGGATCCCTGAAGTATACCAAACCTATCTGAGAACCAGGTTCCTCCCCACCAAAATTGGTTCTTCCAATCAGTTCTGGAATGAGCTCCCCTGGGATTGCAAGAAAGCTCATCAAAGAAAGGGTGTGGCACAGAGTGATGTGTCCAGCTACAACTATACCAGTTACCTACCTCAAATTGCCTGTGATGGTTTTCTATTAATTTTAAGAAACAAGTCTAGCAGCCTCTGATACTAGGAGGCCAAGAGGAGAGAAGTATGGCTAAAAATGAGCAGCTCCATCCCAATACCTCCAACATGGAGAACAGACACATGAGAGGAGCATTTCTCAGTTCCCTTTCCCAGTAAAACATCACTCCACCCCCATCCATATCCCTGCTCCCTCAAAATCTCATTTATCCCAACTCTATGTACAACCCCTATCCCAGTTCCTAGTTTCCCTATCAAAACACCTTATTCCAGACACTCAAGTTAAACTGTCCCATCAGTGCAGACATATTGAGCCTAGCTAGAATTCCACCACAGGATGGATTCTAGCAGCAAAAGCAGTGGTTCCTATCAACAAGTCCTGGGAACAGCTTTAGTATCTGCTTCTGTATTCATAAAAGGACCATGAGAGGCAAGTTCTGCCTGTCACTCTCACCCCAGAGTGCTCAAAACAAGTCTGCCCTAAAACTTCCACCATACTGGGGACAAGTCCCTAAAGAAGAGAGCACAGTGATGTCAACAGAGAAACTGGTCACCCTTCCAAATCGATGTAATTCCCAAAGCAGAAGGCCAAGTAGTTTCCCCCCAAAACTAAAGTTTTTGTTTCCTTAGTTATAAAATTTGCCAGTATCTAAAAAGTAAATGTAAGGTCAAAATCTGCCCAATTTTCTGTAAACACTAGGACTTTGTAAATGCTGACAATAAGTTCAGATAAAATTCAAAAAAGGTTCTTAGAGAAACACCTAAAATTAACATGTTTAAATAGAGAGTAAGTTTGTAATTTAGTAAGCTCTAAATGGTTATTTGGTTCCAGAGAATACCTATAATAACCAAGTAAATTCCTCACCCAACTTCTGGTAGCTAATAAATCTTCCAACTATAATATTCAGTTAAAATATTTTTCTTAATGTTTATTTTTAAAGTAAAGACAGAGAGCATGAGCAGGGGAGGGGCAGAGAGAGAGAGGGAGACACAGAATCTGAAGCAGGCTCCAGGCTCTGAGCTGTCAGCACAAAGCCCAACGAGGGTTTGTGGATGAGGGCTCGAAATTACGAGCCATGAGATCATGACCTGAGCTGAAGTCAGACACCTAACCGACTGAGCTACTCAGGGTGATCTCCTAAAATGGCCTAGCTAGCTTCCTTAGAACAGAAGCAGTTTAGGGGAGCCTGGGTGGCTCAGTCAACTAAGCATCCGACTTCAGCTCAAGTCATGATTTAAAAAAAAAATTAAAAAAATTATTTTTGTTTATTTATTTTTGAGACAGAGAAACAGAGCACGAGTGGGGGAAGGGCAGAGAGAGAAGGAGACACAGAATCCGAAACAGGCTCCAGGCTCTGAGCTGTCAGCACAGAACCTGATGCTGGGCTTGAACTCACAAACCATGAGATCATGACCTGAGTGAAGTTGGGCGCTTAACCAACTGAGCCACCCAGGTGCCCCAGCTCAGGTCATGATCTTGCGGTTTATAGGTTCAAGCGCCATGTGGGGCACAGTGCTGACAGCTCAGAGCCTGGAGCCTGCTTCAGAATCTGTCTCCCTTTCTCTCTGCCCCTCCCCAGCCTATGCTGTCTTTCTCTCAAAAATAAGTATTTTAAAAAATTAAAAGAAAAAAAAGAATAGAGGCAGTTTATAAACCTCTTATCTATATTCTTCTTCTACAGATACACACCCAACATCATTTGAAGCCTTTGCTCTGAAAAGAGATGGCTGCTTTTCAAGTTTAAAACCTACTTCCTGGGGCACCTGGGTGGCTCAGTCAGTTAAGCATCGGACTTCGGCTCAGGTCATGATCCCATGGTTCATGGGTTCAAGCCACGCGTTGGGCTCGGTGCCGACAGCTAGCTCAGAGCCTAGAGCCTGTCTTCGGATTCTGTGTCTCCCCCTCTCTCTGACCCTTCCCTACTCACACTGTCTC